TTCGCATATCCATACTTCCCTCCTCCAAAATTTACACACAGCAAAAGATAGAAACCCTATTATTAATCCTGCCTCCATAAAATCCCGCCACCAACCCAATCCCAAAAACCCCTGCCATTTCCATTACCATTACCATTTCCACCATCTCTCTCCTCCTCACTTCCTTCCTCTTCATCCCACCCATCATCTGCAAAATCACAAATATCCCTCTTCCTCATATTCGCCACATTGTTCGCTTTCCCGCTCTTCCTATTCTTCCTGCTCTTCCCACCATTCCTACCTCTACCTCCATTTCCACCCCCAGACGGATAACAGCCACAACCCAATTTATCGCAATCGTGCAACTCATCTTCATCTTTATTTCCATTACCATTCCCCTTCCCACTCAAAACCAACCCCTTCAACTCCTCCACCATTTCCCTCAACCCTCTGATCTCCTCTAAATCCCTTTCCCTCTCCACCTCCCACCACTCCTCCATCATCACCTTGTCAATTTCCTGTCTCGCCAACAAATAGCTTATCAAAGATTCCACTCTCTTCTTTTCCTGTTCTTTTTCATCTTCCTCTATCTCTTTACCTCTAATCCTTCCATCATCTCCTTCATTACCCCGGGATATACCAACCTCAAACAATCCCTCCATTTCTGCAGCGTCTGGTCTCCAACTCCACGTTGTTCTTTTACATTTCTTCTCCGCTCCCATACCATCCTTCTGTTTTCCTTTTCTGTCTTCCCTGATTCCGTTCTTAAGTCCACCCTCCTGATCTATACTCATGGGATTCCTATCGATATCTTCAAACCCCGCATCAGGATTATGCTCCTTATGAAAGTGCTCAGCATTATATTTCAAGACTTGTTCATCACCATTGTCCTCTCTGCTATCCTTATCCTCAAGTAAGTCTCCAAGAACCGCCTTTCCCTTCGCATTTTCATTCACATCTTCCTTCCCCATCTCCTCGAACTCCCCATCACCCTCCATCCTACTCCTATCCTCACACCTTTCTCCCCCACCCCCCGCCATCTCTCTCTCACTCCGCAGACTCACCATTTCCCTCTCCAATCTTGCCAACTCTTCATCTGATGTACGTCCATCATCCGTGAGAAGGCTTTTAATTTTCAAAAGCTTTCTAAGAGTATTCTCTCTCCTGACTCCCAAATCTTCACAAGCATCTAACTCCTTACTCGCTTGTTGTTCGAGAGAAATAGGCGTATTTAAGCTTCTGAATTCTTCATTCTCGAATTCATCTTCATCATCATTCACAGTAATCTTACTCTTGGGCTCTGGTTTCCATGAGGTCGGTACCATTAAATCCACCTCGCAAGATTCGATTCCTCTCTCCTTCAAGGGTTCATCACTCGCATCCCTCTTCTTCTCATCATATCCATCCCTCTTCATCCTTCCCAAAACCCTCAATAATCCCACATCTCGAACCTCCCTCGTCCAATCCACTTCCCCCTTATCCTCCCATTCCACCCCCTCCCCACCAACATTCCCCGCATCCCAACCCTTCCCATAAACCGCACTCCAAACCTCTTCCATCCGATTTCCCAAATATCCCACTCTCTCACAGCTACTCTCCTCCCTAACCCTAACCCCCTTCAACTCCCTATCCAATTCATCAACCATCCTCTTCAACCCTTCAACCTCCATCCTTAAATATCTAATCTCCCCTTCCATCCCCTCAATCCTTGAATTCTGAAAGATTTTCCCCAATGAAGAACTCGAGGATTTATTGGCTGAACTAGGTGATTTCGATCGATTTACTTTTTGAAGTCTCTTACGAGGTGAAGGAGACCGAACAGGTTCAACCAGAGAGTCAACTGCTAGCAATGGAGGCGAATTCTGACCATCTATTTGAGGAATTGAGTGACAGGTAGTTGTGGGTGCTGTGATTTATCAATATCATCAAACACCAAGATATCAGTCAAAAGACTCACCTTCCATATCCATCTCCTCTCTCACATTCCAAACATCAACAACCACCTCCTTGGAATCTTTCATCCAGAATCTTTGCATTTTCTCTTCACTCCCACTACATCCTTCAGTACCCAGCAACCATTCCTCGGAACCATGTCCCTCAGCACAATCCGATTCAAATGAGCTGTGGGAATTCTGTCCTGTCCAAGACATAGAGCAAGATCCATTGGGCTGGGAAAAAGATCTTTTTTCCGCAGGATATCGAGAAGGATTTCTCTCCATTTGAGCGACTCCCTGTGACAAATTCCTGCCATTTTCATGAGATTTCCAAGAAACAGGTTTGAACACAGTTTTATAGTGATGCTTATGGTGTTTATCAGGCTTTTCTCTGATAGTATAGTGAATGGAATGTTTAGGTGTCATTGAATTTAGGACTTCCTGATGAACAGGAGAAAAACCCTCGGAATTCTTGATATCACGCTCAAGCGAGTCTTGAAGACTAGGGCTATTCTCGTTATTTTTGGTCTTAGGAGAATGTACTTTGATCTGTCGAAGGGGTTCCAGTGATGAGATGGCACTTCCCTGGAACAGCGGGAATTTCCCACCATCATTAGCTTTTATCTCAGCCTCACCATCCACAGTTATACCTGCAGATGACTCAACCATATCTCCAGTCATGAAAGAATCCATCTCCATCTTATAATTATCCATCATAGACAAAGACATCGGACTCCCAAGATTACTTGAAAATTCCTCCACACTGGCAAGAGCACGTTCATACCTTATCTGAGGCGAATCATCTACACCCGGCTCCAAGCTGCTCTTTACATCATCATCCGCACCATAATTCTTAAGCCCACTAGCACAAAACTCGATCTCTTTAAGTGAAGTAATCTCACCCATACTCTCCTGACTAGATAATGAAACATCGGTGTTGCGGGAATGAGATGAAGTAAATAGACTCTGTCTAGCTTCACGAACTAAATGAGGTACTCTGAGAGAAAACCCTACGATACTCGCGTTGCAATGAATTGTCTCTTGTGATATACCCAGAGCGTTGTCAGGGGATTTGAAACAAGGGGTAAGGCATTCATCCCCAAAATATCCATCCATATCGAGTTCCGGAACCTGTTCACAGCTTATGCTAAAGGCTCTCTGGGACTCATTTTCGTCCTCAGAGGTGTGAAGAGGTTTTATATCAGGAGTTGAGCATTCATTCCCAACATGTTCATTTGTACTTTCCGGTCCGAAAATCTCTTCACATCTTACACTAAAGATTCCTTCCGCTTTATCTTCTCTCTCAGAATCAAAATCCGATTCGATAACCGAAACAAAATTTTCACCCCCAGGCTGTTCATCTGTACTTTCAGGTTCAGAAATTTGCTCACATCTCTCGCTGAAAACTCTTTCCATGTCATTTTCGCTGAAAGAACTGCTCGTGTTGCTATGGCTTGCAGTGGATAAAATTTTAGGATTCTCTTCTGCGGTACAAGGACCTAGATATTTGTCTGGTCTTTCATGTTCCATAACTTCCTTAGTACTGGTGATTTTTCCTAGGCCGTTTTTGCCTTTGATGATTATCGAATGTTGTGGATTATCTTGTATACTTTCGGTGACGTCCGGTTGTAGTATTTCCTTTGAAACTATTTGCTTGATACCGAGCGAACTTTTCATATTGAGCACATTGCCATTCGAATCCTTGTCTGTGGTAGCAGCTAACCTCTCTTCTCTTTCTCTAATCGCTCCGAAAATCCTCTTATTACTCTCCATCATACGACTAAGCCCACCCAAAGATGAACAAAGATCATCCGCACCATTTCCTAGTGCATGATTCAATTCCTTCAATGGAACACCCCTCCCTTTTGACTTTCTTGAAGTTGATGAAACTTGCGACTCATCGTGAAGATCTCTATCTGACTTCTTCCGGCGCAACTTCTTCAAACCATCTTCAATCCTCCCAATCGTATTCACCTTCCCAGAATCACTATCAAGTGATCCAACATTCAAAGACTTGACCATATCTTCTCCAACATCATAAGAATGAATTGAGTCTTCAGACTGTGGTTCAAACGCCATTACACAATCTATTCCTGAATCTCTCCTAGGACTTGGAGCTGGACTCAGACTCGCATTTCCAACCTCTCCATTGGAACATGAGCCATCCATTCCTAATCCAATACTCGCACTACTCTTTCTCTTTTTAAGACCTCTAATAGTTTTTTGAGGAGTCCTCGTTCTTCTCCTAATGGTTTCTTTACCATTGGAGGAAGAGCCAGAGCCTGCCCAAATATGCATTTTGATTGTATAACGACTTATACAACGAGGTACCTATGTGGAAGATGGTATCTGATTTACCACGAAACTTCTCTTGATACTAATAACGTATCTAATCCGAACTCAGGGAAAAGTTTGTCTGGGAGTCAATCAGCATGGATTTCCCAAATGATCTAACAATCGAGAAGTCCACCTTCACAGATAAAAAAAAACTAGTATTGAATTAACTAGATCCGTATACTTTTCTTTTGAATTAAACAAAAGTACTTTGTTTGGGGCCGGTGGAGGATCATAAAAATAAAAGTAAGTGACTCTTTTCGTAATATGGATGAGGCACTTGACGTCGATATATTTTCCTTTTGAAATAGGTCCGTTGGAGATAGGCCTCTATGTGAACGTAAGAAAGTGGTAATAATTCTTCGATCCAAACGAATTGGTATTGAGTGTTTTGCAATCGATGAAATATTCGAACTTTGTAGTTTCGGTGAAAGATTCCGTGAACGCTTGACAGACAATGAAGTCACCTTCAATAATCACATAGACTTTCGCATCGACCTTGATTTGAAATTTGAAGATTCCCAGCTACACTGTCTTGGTATCTATGACCTCCAGGTGGAAACTCAGGAAAAGGACGATTGAAAATTCGATGGTAGGTACCTTCTAAAAGCTGCTGTTTGACTTTAGTCTCTCTCTCAACCATCCAAACTAATGTTTGATATCTATACCGTACGAGGCTCGGAACCGGTATTGTTCACTTATTAGACCTCTATTTTGAAGAAGAGTATTTAAAAGTGCAGCACGATAGTTTGGAAGACTGCGTAGTTCCCCTTTACTCCTCAATGAAGAATTGTAACGGAATAGATCGTAATCTGCTTTCCCTTTTCTGTTGAAAAAGCTCGTACCCGTTCTCAATTTGTTTCTCTAGTGTAGAAAGTTCTTCATCTACAACGTTATCCGCTTGACTCTAGGAGTTGTTCCTCAAAAGGAGGGCCTTTATTTCTTCGTTCTATGTTTTGTTGTAGCTCCTGGGGTATTTGACCTCGATCGTGAATCTGATGCGAAACAGGATTTGCTGGAACTTGTTTCTTGGGTTGCTGACCTCGATCGTGATTCCGATACAACACAAAATCCACCAGAACTAATTCTTTAAATCATTAACCCCGATCCCTATCCCGATTCCGCCGCACAGAACTCGAAAGAAGTTCTTTCCGGTATCCTTTCTTTCCTCGATAATATTTCCAATCAAGAACCGATTCTCCTTCTCTCTGGTTCGAATTCATCAAACCCGAAGAGACTCTTTGATGATTATTATGATTGCACTTCGAATTTCCTCTCTGCTTGATTCTGTAATATTAATTTTGTATCAACATCAACGTCAACGTCAACATCAACTTGACTTATTGCCTTGCATTGTACTCGAACTTGATGTGGTTTAGGAGGGGATTTCTTGTGGATCTATTCATATCTAATTGATTGATTGAAGCACCTCAAAGTCAAAGTCAAACTCAAACTCAAAGCTTAATCCGCAATAAACCTCTATCAACTCCTCCAGAACGTAACTTCCATCAATTTCCTCTGAAATATAATTCTATCAATCCCTTTCAAAATATAACTCCTATCAACCTACTTCCTCACCTTACCTCAAAAAAAGTTAAAAAAAATTAAAAAATTTGTTTCTTTCAAAATAATAATTTTATTTAACAATTATTTTTTTTTATATTATTATATTATTATATTATTATATGTTAAAGTGAATGGTTCCTGCGTAGCACGTGCACAGGGCACTAGTCCTGTTAGGACTAGATTGAGAAGCTCTCTTACAGAGAGCTTCGCACTTCCGTAGAACTTAGAAGAGAGATTAACCTACTAGACCAATATTACCTCAGTTCTGCCCTATCAGCTTCCCACTATTCCCTGTGTGAGGTCATTCCTTTTAACATTATATTATGTTAAAAGGAATGATCTTACACAGGGAATAGTGGGAAGCTGATAGGGCAGAACTGAGGCTATATTGGTCTTATATATAAATCACTCATTATCTAAGTTCTACGGAAGTGCGAAGCTGTTACGACGGCTATCTTCTACGCCGCGTCACATGACTAAACCAGGGTAACGTGATTAAGTCACGTTACGGACCGCTGCGCGGTCCTGACTAGCCATAGGCATGAAGGTCTATATGATCAAGATGGATTTCCTTTGTATAGAGCTTCGTGCTCAAGATCAATCATTTAGTATACTTTACTATTAGTTACGAATAGTATACCATTATTGTCATTACTTAAGTCCCTGCTTGACGCCTAGTTTGTCACACTCAAGAATACTGGGTAAAGTATCTTGTATTAGAGAATACTAAGCTAAGGAGAAAAGAAGAAGGAAAACAAGAGTAGCGAGTTTTCCTATGATTAAATACAAACGGGGCATGCCACGTGACCCGGAGGTGTGAGGCGTCACATAGTTATAAACCACCTCGAGAGCCTAGAGCACTCCCACGTGATCTAGACGGCAAACCTCGTAACATAATAATATTATAATAAAACATTTGAGATATTAATAAATTTATATTCAAATTTCAAAAACTCTATTTCTATTTAAGTTTTTTAAATTTCAAAACTTAAAAAAAATAAATTAAAAATAAATCAAAAATCACATCAAAAAGTCCCTTATAAAAAAAAAGTATATTTCCAAACCAACCCAACCCAACCCCAACCCCAAAACAAACCAAAAATCCAATCTCATAAAAAATTACCAAAGTTTTATTTATTTATTTAATTCTTTCTTTCTTTAAAAATTTAAATGTTACGAGGTTTGCCGTCTAGATCACGTGGAAGTGCTCTAGGCTCTCGAGGTGGTTTATAACTAGGCGTCAAGCAGGGACTTAAAGTAATGACAATAATGCAATTCGTAACTAATAGTAGAGTATACTAAATGATTGATCTTGAGCACGAAGCTCTATACAAAGGAAATCCATCTTGATTATATAGACCTTCATGCCTATGGCTAGTCAGGACCGCTGCGCGGTCCTGGACAGCCAGCGTTCCTGGACAGCCAGCGTTCCTCAGCGGTCCATAACGTGACTTTAATCACGTTACCTTGGTTTAGTCATGTGACGCGGCATAGAAGATAGCCGTTGTAACATTAAATTGAAAATTGAAAATTAATTGGATTTAATTTTCAATCTTCAATTTCCTATCCTAGTCTTACATCTCTCTCTCTGTTTCTGTTTCTTATAGAAAGAAAGAAATCTATTTATTATTACATTTCATCTATACTACACTATACCATCCATCCACACTATACCATGTATCTATGTACAAATCCTCATCTCTAACCAATCTCCCATCTACCATGTCAATGTTACGTGACGGTTGTTATCCCACTAGTGGCTCACGTGCACTAGCCCTGTATATAAAGACCTTCTTACTTAGAATCTTCTTAGTTCTTTAGTTTTAGATTCTAAGTAATTGAATTGACTCCGTTTACGACTTTTCCGTCACAGTCAACTACGTTCTCCCTTCCCATCCCTTCCTTCATCTCACATATCTCCTCTCCTCTTGTTCCTCTCATTCCTCTCGTTCCTTCCCTTCCTTCCCCCTATTTATCCACCTCTCCATTCAATCCCGCTCCATCCCGACAAACTCACACTCCACACTTCACACTTCACACTTCACACTTCACACTTCACACTTCACACTTCACACTTCACAACTCACAACTCACAACTCACAACTCACACACAAAACTCAATTCAAAACTCAAAAACTGAAAAAGGGGAGGAAAAGAAAAAAATTCAATAGTAGTAAAGATTGTGCCTTCCGTCATTCATTTCTTTCTCTCCTCTTCTCCTTCTCCTCATTCTCATTCACCTTAATCTCTTCTCCCCCCCCACCTTCTCTCCTCCCCCCCCTCCTTCTCTCCACACCCCAAAAATCCAAAGCACAAAAGAAAATCCTCCTCCAAAT